ATTTTAATTTTAATATTGTTATTGTAAGCTTAAAATTGTAAAAAATAACTGAATATACTAATAAATATTTATTTTGTAATTCTAAATTTATTACCTAGTTTATAATAAAATATATTTTTATTTTAGATGTACCAAGGATCACATTGTTCAAAATACCTTCAAGGTAAAAATGTTTATATTCCAGCCAATTCTTCACAGGCACTTATTGAAGGAAACCTAAGCTCAGCTTTTAAAGTAATTTCACGATCTACTGATATGACTCCTGGTTGTGCAAAATATGCTCTTCCTTCCATTTGTCATACTGCATATCCGTTATGTAGAAAGGATCGGACCATACCTAAGCCATTGCTTGTGTGCCAAGAGGTTTGTTTATCTAATTCAATACCGAACAGCTTTTATATTATTTATACAATTATTGATGCAGGACTGTGAACTATTGGAAAACGACATTTGTAGTCAAGAGCATGCAATCGCCAAAAAACATCATTTGCTTGGGCGTTTTGTTAATTTACCTAACTGTTCTTCTTTACCAAAAACTGATTGTTTTGAACTTGGTATTGAAAAACCAGAAGTTAACGAAGGTAAAAAACAAATAGACTGTAAACTATTATTAATTAGCACATTTTATGAATTTATTTTTGTTTTTCAGATGAAAAGTGTTATTGGGGACTAGGAGTATCATATCGTGGCACAATATCATCATATCAAAATCTATCGTGTGTCCGTTGGAGTCAGCAATTAATTGTAAAAACATCTGATTATAAGGAACTACAGGGAGGTCATCGTTTCTGCCGAAATCCAGGATCTGAAGAAAGTGAACCTTGGTGTGTTGTTGAAATGCCAGACACAGGGCAAATGAAAAAAGTGATATGTGATGTACCACATTGCAGTGAGTTATTTTATAGAGGAAAAATAGCAAATGGTTTTATTTAAAATTGTCATGTTATGATTAGTGAGAACTCTTCAATTACCAATTTTCATCGTAAGCACAGTCAGTATTTCTTTATTTGTTGTACTGGTGATAATGGTAATTTGCTGTATTCGAAGAAAAAGTAAGCGACGGAATTCAGCAATACGCCGTAGACTGCCACCTTACACAAATCAAAAAGTAGTTGAATACAATAAAAACATGCATATCAACATATAACATATTTTTAATTTTTATTTACAGCAAGACATTGTAAAAGGTAAGACAAATGGTCTAGAATTATCATC